AGGAAGGAAGGAAGGAAGGAAGGAAGGAAGGAAGGCCAAAGATCACTCAATATTTCCCTGTAATCACTTCAGCATAAAATAATAACTGTTTTTCTCCACCCTAAAAGGGCATCTAAACTGAGGTGAGCCCTGCCTGATTGTGTTACATAATACATTCATAACTCAGGATTGAGGGTGCCAGATTAAAACTCAAGCTCTTACAAAATTAAGCTAAACACAAAGTCAGAAAAGCAGAATACACAAAGTTAGAGTACATGTCCTCACAGTCTGAACTTTGCCCTCAGCCATCAAACTGGCCAGAAGAAATAAGCCAGAATCCCAGAATGGGTCAGGCTGAAAGGGACCACAGAGGGTGACTGGTGCCACTTCCCTGCTCAGGCAGGGCCATCCCAGAGCAGAGGGCACAGGATTGTGTCCATGTGGCTCTGGAATATCCCGTGTCCCTGTGTGCAGGGAGGGCCAGAGCAGGGCCCAGGCTCTGCTCCAGGGCCCAGCAGTGGCACCAGAGGAACGGGCAGGGACTGAGCCCAGCAATTGCCCCTGCACAGGAGGCAGAACTTCTGCCCTGGGCAGTGCCCAACCTGAACAGGCTGCCCAGGGAGGGGCTGGAGTGTCCCTCAGCGGGGATATTCCAGATCCTGTGCCCTGTGCTCTGGGATGGCCCTGCCTGAGCAGGGAGGTGGCACTGCATGTTTCCCACTCATAAGTCCCACCAGATGAAACCAGTGTAGTTCCTTCCACCCTTAGTAGTTCTGTGAGTCTGCCCAGTGTTAAATATGTATATAAATATATAAAATATGAGTATCATATGAATAGAATTACATATGCATTTGACAGTGTTATATAACAATATTCCTAAAGACTTGTGTGAATATAGTAATGGAATACTCCAGGGTAGTTTGGGAAGAGGAGAAAAGTTAGAAAAAGGTTATTTCTGAAAAAAAGAGAGAATCTGTCAAACAAAAGGTCTGATAGTCCCTGAACTGCTCATCAACACAAAATAAGCTCCAGTCATTGAGCCAGGACCACCATCAGTCTTCTCACCAGTTACCCAAGACATAGGGCCTTAAAACCAAACCATCTCCCCCCAAAACAGGGGGCTCACCTGATTCTTCAGTTCCCAGCAAGAAAATTTGGGCTCCAAACACCTTCAGCAACAGAGAAAATGCCCAATATCTGAAGGAGCCCACAGGAAAGATGGAGAGAGAATACTGACAAGGGATGGTGGGACAGGATGAGGGGGAATGGCTTACCACTGCCAGAGGGCAGGGCTAGATGAGATATTAGGAACAAATCCTTGGCTGTGAGGGTGGGCAGGCCCTGGCACAGGGTGCCCAGAGCAGCTGTGGCTGCCCCTGGATCCCTGGCAGTGCCCAAGACAAGGCTGGACAGGGCTTGGAGCAATCTGGGATAGTGGAAAGTGTCCCTGCCCATGGCAGGGGTGGCATGATATGAGCTTTTTCAGGGCCCCTTTGAGCCCAAACCTTTCCGTGATTCTGTGATGTAGTTCTGGAGCTGCAGCTCAGGAGCTGGCAGAGCTGGCAGTGTTTGGGGCTGGCCAGCTCTGCACACATAGAAGTGGGGGCTGGGGGAGATCCCACCAGCTCCAGCACCAGCACAGGGACAAGTCCTCTCCTGGAGCCTGTGTTGGTGCTGTGTCAGGGACACCCAGCACAGCCCCACCACACAGGGCTCTCCAAACTTTGTGTACAGGAGCAGCAGGCACAGGTATACAAAGTGCAATTGCAGCTTGTCAAGCACCACTAAATATTGAGCAGTGAGGATGCTTTATAGCGAT